TTCTTTTTCAAATAGGCTAATTCTGAGCATGTATTTTATACCTTTTCTCAGAAATTTTCCTGTGGAACTAAGCCCCAGTCAGCCACGTGGTGACCTGCCTTGATATCATGTCCTTTATTGGCTGCCTGCCCCCCCATCTCACTTCCCACCTCCCTTCAGCTGTTTCCTGAGATTGTCCCCCAGATAAACAACCTCATCAGAATCCTTGACTCAGGATCTGCCTGGGGAAGTCTTCTGTAAGGAGACTGGATTGGAGGGGACATAAGTGGAGGCAGGGAGACACATCAGGAGGCTGTTGTGTTAGTCCAGGTGAGAAAAGATGATGACCTGGACCAGGATGGTGGCAGGTGAAGCTTCCTGGGATCTCGACTCTTAGGGATGTGAAGGCCCTTCACAAGCAGAAGTTGCAGAAAGACTTTCATGAGCCAACATTACCAGCTCCCAGTCTGTCTGAATTCTCCACATCTCACCCACCATCTAGCTAATCACACACCCTCTAAGAGGAAGCACAGTGTGAGAAAAGAGACCCCTTTAAAAGAGAAAAAATAGCAATGTGCCCAACCCCCCAGCACTTCCTGCCCTCACTCTGGCCTCTGGGTCGAAGGCCCCTTTGGGTCCCAGGCACAACTCCTCTCAGGCTGGATTTGGCTTACAGTGAATGTGGTGATCATTAGCTCTTCCTGACCATGGCTTGGCTGTGCCTCCATCACCATCCCAGGAGGAGAAGGACTTTCCACCCTTTACCAGAGTGAATGCAACTCTGGTTGCAGGTGGCCCCCGACATTGAGCAGAGTGTTGTGAGCCCCACTCAACAAACACACATACACAATCTCCCACCCATTTTGTCCACCTGAGTAGAACCAGCTTCTCACTGATCTATTCAGAAGTGGTGGACCCTCTCTTGGTCCTACTTCTTCCTATGATGCAGCCTAGATTGCGTGGGATGGTACCTACTCACAATTAGTACTTTATCTTTTCGTAGAGAAACCAGTTTATTAACCGAGAGCACCGTCCTGGTCCTACTGGCCTGCCAAAACTTGCTCTTGACTTAACTCGTTAGGAGTTGCAGATGCTGTTCGTACCCCACCCCGACTCCCCTGGCACCCACTATTCCTGTACATACCAATGGCTTTCCACAACGAGTGCTGCAGGTCTCTGCCTTAGCCCCTCTCTGGCGGAAGGATCTGGGTTGGCTGGCCAGCCCACAGGCCGGGCTACAAGTGCCACAAGGTCAATGCTCTCACGAGCAGTCTCAGCCACTGCCAGTTGGGAGCTAGTGGGCAAATAACCCAGCTTTGGTCCTCAGGTGAGACAACTGTGGTCTGTGTTCTACACACTCCCTCAATGATCTCAGCAGGATTGAGCCCCCACTTGCCCACAGCAGTGTTTGGGCATCATTTGGAGTACGTGAGGGTGTATGGCTCAGGGGCATGGTATGCGTGTGTGCCTGGCTATGGCATATGTGGGCACAGAAGGTTCACGTATAAGTGTGCAATGTGTGTGTTTGGGTGTGTGTAAATGATTTCATCATTGTCCAACATATATTTGCTCCTCTTCCCCTTCTAGTCTGAGCAGACGGTACTTCCCTTCCCTGACATTGACTTGCTTTAGCCAATGGAATACTAGCAGAAGTGACATTGGTGGAGGACTTAAATGTGCTTTAGCTGTTTGGTTGAGTTTGGGGGGCTTCTCCATTTCCCATGAGAAGAGTTTGCCCAGGTGCTGCTGCCCCTTCAGCCTGAGTTCCAGAATGAGAAACCAAGCAGACCTGAACCCAAACCACAGCTTGGAGCTAAGCTCAGTTGAGTCCAACCGACCCAGAGACCCTGGAGCAAGAAATAACGAGCTGGCATTTTAAACCATTGAAATTTGGAGAGGTTTGTTAGCATTTCAGCAATCACTAACTAATACAAAATGTTAGATGGGATTTGCAAAGCATAGGGTATGATTTGTGGGGAGTACAAGGAATGTGTATGTGTGCGGTGCTTGTGTATTTTGTGTTGGGGAAATGCTATTTGTGATACACAACCACGAAAAAGCCAGGGTTTCTACTGGATAACACAAAACAAACGAGCAAGCACACCACAGAGTGGGCTGTAGATGGAGCGTGTACTCAGTTCCCGGTCAGAAGGCACCTCGGGCTCCTATGCGGGGAAACCCACATCCTGAAGCCTCGCCTCTCTCTGACTTGCTAGCAGCTTCTAGGAAGGCAGCATCAGCCAGACAGGGGTGTTTGACTTGACAGGTGTTCAGCAAACCAAGGAAGAGGTGGCACAAGGCCAGCCAAGCAGCATCTGACCGCACACCCAACCTGCGTGTGCCTTGGCTGCTGAGGCTTCCGTCCCCGCAACAGGGCTTGGCGTCTGAGGAAGGGTCCACACAGCAGCTCTGGGAGATGGACAGAGGGGACTCTGTGTAGAACAGAAAACTGCTGTGTGCACATCAGCTGGACTGGGGCTTTGCAAGGAGGTGCCTCCGATCTCAAGGCTCCAAGGCATCCCTGCAAGAGTCCCCTTTTCCTGACTCAGTCATGACCAGCTGAATAGGAACTCTGTGATTAAGACGGTGAGCTCCGGAGTCAGACTGTGCAGGCTCTGTCTCCGGTCCAGCAGCCATGACCTTGGGTAAGTAATTTAACCTCTCTGGACTTTAATTTCTCAGTTTTAAGATAGGGATAAATGTAGTATCTCACTTGTAAGGTTGCTATGAGGACTGGATGAGTTAATTCCTATAAAGTTTCGGGGACTGTGCCTGCTTATTATTGCATGCGCGCTACTCTCCGGGCACTGATGACACGAACAGTCTTGCATGCGGAAACCACACAAGGTCAGTGTTATCATCTGACGTAGGCCAGGCTCCCCCAGAGACAGACCTTGAGACAAGGATTCAAGCAAAAGCAGTTTGTGTGTGTGTGTGTGTGTGAGCTGATCCAAAAACACAGCAGGAAGCAGAGATGTGAGACACAGAGGGTGAGCAATGACCCCTGTGAGTAATCAGGGCTCAGTCCTGGTAAGGGACTCTGCGAGACACGTAGAACACACAGAGCTACCCTAGCCAGGGAGCTGGGGCTTTTATACCCTGGCTCCCATCACTCACTGGAGGCTGCTTCTGGAAGTAGATAAGCAGCCCTCCCTGTGGTCTGAGAAACTCCTCCTTCCCAACCTGGATGATTGGTCACACTTCCTGGCCAGCGTTAGCTCCCCAGCACCCAGCCTGTCACATGTCACCCAGAGCAAGCCCAAAGAGGCTGGCGCTGGCAATTAGAAGCTACCACATGGTAGCTACCATGGTCTACCATGGTCAGACCCGAAGGGGTGAGGTCAGGATGTCCAGCCCCATTTTAGATGAAAGAAAAGCGAATCTCCGAGAGGCAAAGTCATCTGCTCAGTGTCACCCTGCAGGAAGGGGTCTGGGAGTGGGGGGTTCAAGCCCAGGTCTGTCTGAGGCCAAAGCCCATGCTGACCACTAGGCTCCACACTCCTCCTTCCACAAAGCAGCCTTTGTGCACACAGACTAGAGGAGCTGGAAGTACCTCAGGAGACCAGCTCGCCCACTGACTGAAAACGAACACGCCCCGGCTGACAGGTAGCATCTGTGGTTCTGGGGGTGGGGCCGTGGGCGGATGATAGAGAATAAGGAGGTAGGGCCTACGCCCAAAAGGTGGGCATGGCAGCCTCTGAAGCAGGCATCGCTACTCAGCCATATGGGAACGGACGCCCAATGTTACTAAACCATCCAATGTGTCAAAGGAAGCTGGATTTTTACGGGAAATCTCCAAAGTATTACATGTTGTCTAAGAATTTTCTGAAAAACACATTGTGAACCAACCCCGTATGGACCAAATACAGCATATCAGCCCGCGGCTGCCTGAATCCTGTCCTGTGGCTCATCCACTCACCCCGGTCGGTGAATCTAAGGGCTCGTGTTGGTGTCTTTGCCCCAATAGACATCCCTACAGAAATGGGGTGTCTTTGCCCCAGTAGACATCCCTCAGTCTGCACTTAGTGCACAATTCCACCCATTTTGAGCTTTTTTCTTTTTTTATGTTAATTTCTGGCCACATTTCCACACCTGTGTCCCCACAGCTGACATCCAGAGCGCAGGCCCCAGCCCAGCCACACTGTTTATAGTTAGTAAACAGTCAGTGCCTGCAGTTCCCCCCGTTAACCCTGTGCCCTGACTGCCCAATCCTTCCCTAGGATCCCCAGAAACCCCAGGGTTCACTTCTGGCACAGCAGGGACCTCAGCTGACCTTGTGGCTGGAGTTCTTTCTCATTCTTCAGTGCCCAGGAATCGTCCCTTTATCCTCCTGTGTCTCTCCCTCTCCCCACAATTACTTTCTTTTTTAAATTAGGTAACAATCTTGAATCCTTGTTGATTCAAGGATATAATGTTATCAACAGTGATGTGCTGATAAATGTTTAACAACTAGAACTAGCTCTCGGAAATAGTGGGGAGTCCTGATTTGCAGCATTTGCTGACTCCCATGGTGTAAATACTCCCACCCCGGCCACTTTTCAAGCTACCAACCTGACTGAATACGGAGTTGACAGGAGATGTGTAGTAGCTCACCATTATATAATACTTACTATATAGATGCAAATAACTTAAAAAGTACAGATAACAGTAAAATATAGTGAAATCATTAGGAATTAATGAGTTCTGAGTATTTATTACCTTTTTTCTAATATAACTTATTATATTATTAGTTGATATTATCTCATTTTTAATAATGCCTGTGTTTCTCCACCAGGTCACAAAATTCCTGAAAATTCTGCGAATTGGCTCTTATTAGCCCATATGAGCTGATTCCAGCAAACCACTGGATGAATAAACACAGAGGCAGAAAAATAACAAAAACAGGTGCTTGGTGGTCAAAAGACAAGGATTGGAGGGGGGAGTCACCAACCATCCTCAGGAGGGCAATTCCAGGTTCTCAATTCATCCCAAATCCCACACTTGCCCTGCTCTCCACCCTCACCTTGTCCAACCCCACATACCTGCAGCAGGAAGTCGAAGAGCGCCAGGCGTGCCCACTCGGTGTGGTGGATGCCCAGGCAGGGGGCCTGGCTTGGCCAGCGACAGCCATGTGCCAACAAGGCCTGGTACTGCAGCCAGCCCAAGGACAGAGAGTTCTGGTCATCCTCTGGGTCTCCCAGGTGCTGCACATCAGGCGCCCACCAGACGACGGGCCTGGTGCTACCATCCGTGTATCGGTAGGGCAGCAAGGAGCTGTGGAAGTTCCGGGCCACGGCAGGCAGGCTCCGGCGCAGCCCCAGCACCCGGTCCACGTGGAAGGACAGGACCTCCGGCAGGTCCCCAGGCCTCTTGATCAGGCCACAGAGCCCCTGGGAGCAGAGATGGCTGAGCCCGGAAGACATGTTCCGAAGGGCACCGTCACTGGAGAAGCCGACCTGCAGCACCTGCCCGTGGCCAGGGACCCTGGCTTTGCCCACCACCTCCCCCTGGGCCAGCAGCTGGAGTGTTTGCACATCGTGCTCCGTGAACCATGGGGGGGCCTGCCCACCGGTCCTCAAGCTGGTCAACAGCTCAGGGGTCTCGGCATCACACCAGACAGATTCTTGCAGCTCTGCAACAGAGCCAGGCCACCGACGAGCCCCTGTAACTGGGGTGGAATGCCCTGCTTGTCGCCTACCAGTTAAGGCTCCGTTCCTAGCTCCCGGCAGATTCTTGCTTTCCACTGGGTGGGGCCGGAGGGTGAGTCCAACAGCAGCTCTCCAAGCCTGTAAAGCTGTCATGCCACGTCCTGTGACGGGGTCAGCCAGGGTGCCAGTCTCATTCTGTGCCTCTCCGATGGGACTGTCATGCCAGGGGGTACCCAAGTCTTTGCTTCCTGGAGCCCTGACCTCATCGTCCCTCAGGAGCAAAAGACGCGAGGTACTGAGTCTCAAATTTCTTGGAGAGGCCGAAGTAATGTCCCTCCTGACCCTCCCTGGATGCTTGCTGTCCTCTCCCAGGGACTTCCTGCTTCCTTCCACTGTCCCCCTGTGGCCTTTCTCCTCAGCACACACGGGGATGGAATTCCTAGGCAAGGGCCAGCCTTTCCAGAACCCTAGGTCTCTTGCCCGCTGCCTCCAGCTAGAGCTCAGAGCCTGCCGGCTGTGGGGGCCAGGGGCTCCAATGACCTCCTGGGGCTCCATGGGACCCGGGTCTGGGCCAGTGGCTGGATGCTGTGGGAGGAAGCAGGTGACAGTCACCACAGACAGAGTCATCAAGAGGCAGAATGCCATCACCCACCGCCTCTTGCCACGCAGCTTTCTCCAGAGCCAAGATGCCTGGGGGACAGGATAGAAAAAGAAAGTTTGAGACCTGGGAAAACGTCAGACCCAATCCACAAAACAACGGGGACAGTGAACGAACATCTTAGGTGTATGAAGAGGGAAGAGACGTGGAGTACACTTCGCGGCCTTCAAGGGAGGAACGGGCAACCACAGCCAGTTGCGCTCCTGCTTCAAAGCTGAGCTTGCTCTGCCTTCCAGGGTGGCCTTTGCTGATGCTTGCAGTCGGACCCGGGCTTCTCCCCCTCGGATAAACCGCCATTATGACACCAGTCACCAAGCGCCAGGAGTATCTCTTTTCACATCTGTCCCTCACCCCTGAGGGCTGGCCCCTCTCTTCATCTCCATGTGAGCCCTAGGGCCCACTCCCTAGATCTCTAATGGTCTCCCAGACATGCCTTTCCCTTTTCCCGGGCACAAGGCTGCCCAGCTGCAGATGACCTTGCCCAGCCTCTCTGTGGCCATGTGACTCAGCCCTTGCCTAGGCACGTTTGCACGCCCCACTTGCTCACGTGGAAGTTGGATGCCCTGGCCTTTCTTAGCACACAGATGTGGGAGCACCAGCTCCATGTGTGTTGGCAAGGACATACTCTGAGGCAGTGATTTTTAAACATGCTGGTCCTGGACCAGTAGTTTCGGTACCACCTGGGAACCTGTCAGAAAAGCAAATTCTCAGGCCCGCCCCCTCGCCACCTGACCCTGAGGTGCCTACGCTGCTGGGAGCCAGCAGGTGGGTCTACGTCCCAGGGCCGTGCTGCCCCGATCTTGAACACCCTGCTTGAGGCAGGGCAGGCTGGGGACCAGTGTGCTGAATAGCACTGGGCAGCTCAGAGGAAGGCAGGGTTCTGATTTCCTCCCTCTCCAGTCAAGGCCCCCAGGGCCACAGGGCAGGGAGACAAAGCCTAGAGAAGATCTTCCTCGTAGATGTGGGCTAAGAAAACTTGGATTTCTTTTTTTTTTTTTTAAAGATTTTATTTATTTATTTGAGACAGAATGAGAGAGAGAGAGAGCTCATGAGAGGGAGGAGGGTCAGAGGGAGAAGCAGGCTCCCTGCCGAGCAGGGAGCCCGATGTGGGACTCGATCCCGGGACTCCAGGATCATGACCTGAGCCGAAGGCAGTCGCTTAACCGACTGAGCCACCCAGGCGCCCAGAAAACTTGGATTTCATCTGGAATCCCTCTCCTGCTTGCTGGAGATGGGCTGGAACAATGGTTTTCAAATCTGCCCAGAGGGTTCCTTCATGGTCTACCATGGGGTAAGGGTTTAGGAGAGGACTTTTGTGCACTCTGTATCTCCCTACGCACACATACACACAAATACATACACATAAATAAATAGACACATACATGCACATGCACACACACACTTCCACCAAAATAGCTCTGTGTTCTTTCACTAGGTAGGTTTAGCCCATTTATGTCACTTGATATGCTATACATCTTTAGTCTGTCATTAAATTTTATGGCATATTTTTTGTATTTATAATTTGGAATTGTTTCACTATGTTTTCAGTTACCTTTATTTTGTTTTATGGTGTATACCTTGATGCTTGTATGCCCTTAGTTGTCTAGCTCTTTAAATAGTCGTTCTGAATCCCTAGTAAGAACAATCACAAAATGAGCACCTGTCCTCTTCCCTGTCCCCTACCATTCTTCTGCTATTCAATATTCGTCACTCGCCTTGTCATTTTAATGTTTGCCTTTGTACAATTAAAGGTGCCTACATGTCTACTGTATCTGGCAGCTTTAAATGATATTCTTTGGTTCTCTGCTCTTATTAATGAATAGCATGTTTATTCTTTCTCCCACCTTTTCCCTGATTCCCCTTCCAAATTTGTATATTTGTATCATTTTTATATTGTTAGAATATAAAACTTGTACATTCTATCCCTTTAGTCCAATACTCACAATTGTTCAGGTCTTAGCCCTTCAGTGAAGTACATTCTTTGCATATTCCTGTCCCTTTTGCCCTGGTTTTTCATTATTTCTTGGTTGACTGAAGCCAAAAATCCATAATTTTCTCAAGAAGTGCTCACAGGAACAAAATTCTCTGAGTTCCTGCATGTTCAAAACTATTTTTCTACAGCATTCACACCCGAAGGAAAGTTTGAGTAGAAAGAAAATATTTTGGCACAGTTTCTTTCTCCGAATGGCTTGTGGGTCCTACCCCACTGAATAGAAGGGACCTTTTATCCTGCCTGGTTGCCGTAAGAATTCTTTCTTTTTCTTTACACTTTTTTCCTGGCTTTATTGAAGTATAATTGACAAATAAAATTGGATATATTTAAAGTATATAATGTGATGATTTGATCTGTGTATACATTATGAAATGATCACCACAATCAAGTTATTTAGCACACTCAACACTTCACATAGTTACCTTTGTGTGTGTGTGTGTGTGTGTGTGTGTGTGTGTTGAAAATGCTTAACATCTACTCTCTGCAAATTTCAGGTGTACAATATGGTATTATTAACTACAGTCACCTATTGTACATTAGATCCTCAGAACTTACTCACCTAATAACTGGAAGTCTATATATTCTTTGACCAATGTCTCCCCATTCCCCCTGCCCCCTCCCAAGCCCTGGTAACCACCGTTCTACTCTCTGTTTCTACGAGCCCATTTTTTTTAGATTCCACATACAAATGATAACCGTATAATACCATATAGTATTTCTCTGTCTACTTTATTTCACTTAGCAAAATGCCCTCATGGTTCATCCATGTTGTCACAAATGGCAGGATTTCCTTCTCTTTTTTTTATGGCTGAATAATATTGTGTTGTGTATATATACATTTTCTTTATCCATTCATCTATCAGTGGACACTTAGGTTGTTTCCATATCCTGGTTATTTTGAATAATACTGCAATGAGCATAGAAGTGCAGATGTCTCCTTAGGATACTGATTTCATGTGCTTCAGAGAAACACCCACAAGTGGGATTGCTGGATCATCTGATAGTTCTATCTTTCAGTTTTCTGAGGAATGTCAGTGCACAAGGGTTCCCCCTTCTCCACATCCTCGCCAACACTTGTTATCTCTTGTCTTTTTGACAAGAGCCATTCTGACAGGTATGACGTGATCTTTTGTTTTCTTTGAAGTCCAGTGATGTTAACAGAATATATCTCAGTGTTGACTTTCCCGGGTCAATTTTTCTGGGTGTAATCTACCTTGTTAGAAAAGGTAGATTTAAATGTTTTATTTCACCAAAGTTTTCTTAGACTAAATATTAAATATGTTTTCCGTTCCACTATTTTATTTTTATTTTTTCTTTAGGCTCTTTAATGACTTATGTGTTGGATCTCCTCTGTCTGTCCTGTGTATATCTTTCATCTTCTCCCTAACCCTTTCTAACCATTTTCATTTCAGTTTGTTCATTTTTCTTATTTCTATATTCTATTGGCTGATTGTGTTTTCCCCAATATTCATTCGCCCTTGTGTACTTTCGAATTTCTACCAAATTCCTATTAATTTCTACTTTTCCCTATTTCTTTCCAGCTCATATTTTACTTCTTCCTGCTATCTTACCATTTTTTCTTGAGTTCTTGCATTCTCTTTTGTAGTGTTTCTTCATAGAGGTATTTTCTCATTAAGCTTTAAAAATCCATAATGAAGCGATTGTTCAAAAATTTCACCTATTTCAGGGTGACTGACCTTAATCTGCTCATAAACTTTGCTGTTCATTGTTCCTTTTTTTCTTACAGTGTCTCTGCGTGGATGCTGAACTCCTTTTATGAGTTAGACGAGTCAGTTGAAAGAGGTTCCTATAGAGGGGCCTGAGTTGAATTTGAAATCATGACTAGGCTGCTTCCTGCAAATCTGGCTTGTGATATATCATGTATCATGTATCCTCTCCTCTGCCTTAAAAAAAGGAAAAAGGAATTTGCATTTTGTCTTCCATTCTCTTTGTTGGTTTCAGATGGTTTCCAGGAGACGGTGGCAAGAATGCTGAGTTTATGTGGCCATGTTCATAGTAACAGGCCTTAGTGGCACATTTTTAAGAGGAAAGGAACATACTCTTACAGAATGCAGTGACTAGGCCAGGCCACTGAACAACCAACTTTTTCCAGCTTCTGTGGTCCGCAGCCACGGCCCCCAAACAGCTCCGGGAGATCCAAGAGTTTTGCTCCTTCTATACATGTTCACAAGATCTATTCACTAGCTTTGTGGGAATTGAGGGCTGCCTCCAGGTATATCGGCCACTTAATACCCCCAAGGGACCGCCCTTCAAGAGTGTCATGGAGCAGGAAGAGAGAGGTGGCCCACCCATCACAGCGAGATTTCTAGGAGTCAGAGGGGAAGGGATCACTAGGTCGACAAGATGTTCTCTACTCTCTATGATTTCTCACCATCTCCCCCACCTCTAAACATGCCTTCCTGTTTCCAATCTGCTGAAAGGTAGCACCATCCACCCAGACATCCAAGCCAGAAATCTGGGCCGGATCTCCATTCCACCCTTCTCTCTGCCCCATACATCCAAGTCTTGCAAATTTTTCCTCCTACACATCTCTGGAATCAGTTCATCTCTCATTGGCCACTCTGTGTCTACCTAGGCTGAGGCACCCTCTTCTTTACTAGGATACCTAATTGGTCTCTCCCTCCACTCCTGCTCCTCCACAATCCACTCTCCACACACTCAATCATATCCCTCAAAGCCTCTCTGGAGAAAGTCTAAATGCCTGGAGTGCTTGGTCGCGCTGAACTTTTATTTCCAGGACAGTGCCAGACCCTCTCTATCTCCACTTCACACATACTATTCCCTCTGCCTGGAACATCCCTCTCCCCCTATTCTCATTCTTTAGGTCGTCCCCGGGAAGCCTTCCACAGAGGCCCCTCAGTGGGCTGGATGCCCTAGCTATGAGCTCCCATAACACCCGGCTCCTCCCTGAGCACACCCTTTCCTCTTTACTATATTTGACCATTTAAAGTCTGTCGATCCATGCGGGCGGGACACTGGATCCCTTGCTGTTGTGTCTTGGGACTATCACAGTGCCCG